GTCCTTTGTTCTCATACATACCTCCATTTTCTTTATCTTTTCTAGTTCTTTTTATATTTGATAACTGGGTTCAAACTTCAGGGTTTTCCTTCCTCTTCATCATTTGCCCATCCAGTCATTGCTGGTATATACCCTGCAGGAAAAGGAAGAACATTCAGGGACAGAGGGCTTCTCTTGCCATTGCATTCCCCAAAGCATTTTGCCCTTTCTGGGGTTTACCTCAAGGCTGGACACAGAACAAACATGCTCATGTCATAGGCTGTAATTGCAGTGTCTGTGATTGGTTAGTGGAACACGAGAGCACAGTGTGTATCTCCTTCAAGGGCCTATTTGATGTACACGGTCTGTAATCACATAGGTCATGATTCAGCATGAAGTTGCCCATCTTTATGAAGAGATACAGCCTCAGTGAGATGCTTTGAGTTAGGCATGTGCTTAACTATGCTAAATTGTTTTAAACCACTGTTGTAAAAGGCTGACGGGATCAGAGGGAAGAGAGAGTTTTCATTCCTGCTTGCTAGCACATATCATAAGTGCAGATCATGCCAAACTTATGCTTTAGAGAAACTGAAAATCACTCCCCAAATGACTCTATGTAAAAGGGAGCTACTCTGGTTTGCACTAGAGTTTAAATGGAACCTAACTTCTTTTTCTTTGCAAGTAGAAATATCAGCTGAGAACAAAGGAACAAGTAAAGGATACAGCCTAGGTAGCTTTTGCAAAGAATTTTTTTCTTTGAGTTGGTCTGGGGATCATCAGGATTGGACCTTAGCACCAGCAACCTCCAGCAGACTGCAATGGCTCTGCCTTTAATACACTTCCACCTCTGTGTGTTATACAGCCGTAATACTGAACACACGAGGCAGACAGATGCCCTCAGGCATTCTCCGTAAAAACTTTCATATCACAATGGAACTGAACGTACCATTATAACACCACGGCTCCTCTTCTTCACGGCAAGAATTTTTCTGAAAACCAGGCAATGTCATAGAAATGTTATAATAGACACATCCAGAATATATGGGTGAGTTAGTTGTCCCCAGTGACATATTTAAGCTGTTCTTTCTACTATACATAGAGCAGGTTAAATATAATTAACGTTGGTCAAAGGGTCCTTTTACTTTACATAGTTTCTGAATGTATTACCTCAATTATCAGGAAGAAAAAAAAAAGGAAAAGCGTATTTCTTAACATCTGCTGGTATAAGCTCCTCTAAGTCATTTCCGTCACAACTCTTGCTCTCCAAGAAACATGAATATTTTCTCTGTCCTTAAATCCCATAATTGTTATATTGCTACATTAAAAAGTGTAAATAATCATTCCCCCTCCCTGTAATAAATTAGACGCAACCTGTCTAGCTCTGAAAATTAACATTTCAATATCTTCAGTCACACAATGACATCATATCAATATTTAAAATCATTTTATGCATGTATTCCAGGTTGTCCAACTTCATTAGGGGCATTCATCAGCCCTCCGGCTACAGTGTATTCCCATTGGAGTTGTAGGCCTCAGGCCCTACCAAACAGAAATTTAAACTAACTTGCCTTTTTAATTCACATTATTCTCAAATATTCTCTTTTTTTAACCCCCTGCCATGACTAAGGTGTTTAGATCTGGCTATGATTTTGTGCGCATCAACATTTAACAGAAAAAAATCCCCATTTTTATGTCAGAAGTAGAGTACATGTAAATAATAGTGTTTCTCCTTTAATTGCCCTCCTCATCCCCCATCCATCACTATTTCCTGAGTGCAGTAATAACTGTACTTCTTTTAATGTTCTATGCTAACTTAATAATTTGAGATACAGGTTGATTAGGATATGAACTTGTTGGGTTTTTATGTTTAAAAATATATGAATATTTCAGTCATAAGTTTCATTATTTTCATTCTTTCTTTATCCAAAATAGTAAAAAACCCACTTGATCTATTTTTATACATCTAAAGATGCACAGGATGAATACTTTTTCCTGCTAAGGTCATCAAACATTGTTTTATTATTTAAAAATTTTTCCCTCCAAAAGACCCCCCAGACAAACAAGCCAGTCTTCCCATTGTTCAAATCCATAGGATGATTGTGGATCTGCTCCTCAGGATGTTTAGTGACCTTCAAAATTCCTGGGTAAAAGTCACACACATTACACAGAACAGGAAAGAGAATTATGATATGAAAAAAAAAAAATTTTGCTGCTGGCCAGAGAATGTAGTTTTGGCTGAAGCCTCTCATTTATCCTCCCATATTTTGTGTGGAAAGTCTATAAATAGCCATTATTTAGCCAGATACAAAATAGACAGAAGCATGTGGAAGCAGCCAAGTTAATATGAAGAGCATCTGAAGATGGAGCAAGTCTGTGAAGATACTGGTGACTGAAAACAAAAAAGTTGGGTTAAATACATGTCAGTGTTATTAGCTCTTCTGGCCAAAGTGTTCTGACCAGGTCATAACCATGCATGTGGCCAGAGACCTGATGAGCTCGCACTGATGTGTTATGTTCCATTTGCCTTCAAAAAGGAAAGGTGAAAAAGTGGGAAATTAAATGAGGAGGAAAAAAACAGTAACTGCAAGACCAGCTTTCAGATATTTTTTTTTCCATAAATAACATTTTTTTAAGCAAATGTACTTCTTTCAATTTCCTTCTGCTCTCTGCATCTCTCCTCCTCTCAGTCCATGCCTAGTTTCAGTGTTCCAGCAGCCACATTTTTTCTTATGTCACAGCAAACCTCTTCCTTTTTTTGTTTTGTTCCTCTGGCTTTCACAGTCCTCTGGATTTAAGACCTCTCTTCATTTTGGTACTAGATGAAGTCTGTCAAAGTAAAGGAATTTTGACCTGTCCCTTTGATGGTGGTACATCATCTACATTTTGTCCTTCTAGAAAAGAAGCAGGTGCTATATCTCTTCTGCTGAAGTCCTGGATACCTTACCCATCCAGAAAAATTCTGAGGCTCAGTTTCTCAAAGACATAGAAACCCAAAAAAATAAATTTGCCTCCTAAAAACACAATTCAGTGAGTCGGGGGCTTCCTGCTGCTACCCAGAAATCTCCGCAGTGTTGTGGTTGGGGTTTTCTGTGGTTTTTTTTTTTTTTTTTTTGTTTGGTTGGTCAGGGCTTTTTTTGTTTGTTTGTTTTTGGTTTTTTTTATTTTATTTTTTTTTTAAACCTAATTATTATCAGATTATCCCTTCAAAAGCACCAGGAAAATGTATCACTTTCCATCTGTGAGGTGTTCTCAGTCATTCTGTCTCCTTATTGAGGAGGAACCTGCTGTGCCAGGTGTGCCCACATATCTGCACTTGCTGTGAGGACAGTCTGGAGTCTGATTATTTTCTGTCTACAGTTACCTGACAAACTGACCATGGAAGAGCTGGAGTCTGTGCCCTTTGGAACTCCTGGCAGGTACTTTGCAATAAATGAGTTGGATTTTTTTCCTGGAGACCATGTTGTGGTGTGGCCCCTTCCTTGCAGAGTCCAGGACAGACTGCCATGGACTGAAAAGCTATTGTCCCAACATACTGAAAGGACAAGCTAATCCTAACATTTCTATTCCGTGCAGGGCCTATCCACAAACATAAAAACAAGCACTGGGAAAGAGATGTTTGAGGCTGGGAATGCCCCTGACTGTTGAAACAGAGCTCTGAGAACATTGATGGTGATGGTGATAGAAACACAGTCAAGGTTCGATCTCTGGGCACTACTGCAGTAAGTTATATAAACAAGGATAATAACAACAGAGGAAGACAAAGGGAGAGGGGCATGTGAAATGATCAGAGTAAGGAGTGGGGTGTCAGAAAAAGACTGAAGACCGAGCTGGGAAGGAAAAGAATCACCATCACAGGGGATTAAGAGGGAAGACAGTGGATAAAGAGGATGAGATAAAGAGGAAAAAGCAAGGAATAGGAAGAATAGAAAGGAGTGGATAGAGAAATACATAGTAATGAAAAGAGGTAGACTACTAGAAAAAATGGAGAGATACTTAAACTACAAAAAGTCCAAAACTGAATCTAAGTGAGAATAAAGAGGTGAGAAAAGAAAAAGTAATAAAATAAAAAGAAGGCCCAGTAAAGAAATAAATGTAGCTAATATATTTAAAATTTAAACAAAAAAATAAAAAGAAAAAGTGATTCTATGGAGATACAGAATATGATTGAGAAATTAAGATAAGTTTTCTAATTTGTAAAGTATTGCTCATAAAAAGGGCTGTGTAAAAACTTCTCATTATTGTTGGTTATTTATTGCTCCTTTCTTAATCAAGCAAGCTACACTGATGTGTAATCCTATAGCCAGGACTTGGAAGAGAATGGTGCCACTTTTGATACTAGTTGAAGTAATAGACCTCATCATTTTCAGACAGATTCAGATTTATTTATGGCTATGGCATCCTTGTAACTGAGACCTGCATAATGCAGATGGAAGCTGAATTTTTTTGCTGGACTAATGAAACAGTGTTTTCCTCTAGGTCTTTGGCTCCATGTCCCCTCCCTTCCAGGACAGGTATATCTCACCCATACAAGACCTGTACACATCATTGATAAGCCTCTGTGTCTGTGAGGTTGTAGATACCATGGGGAGTGGTGTTTTGGGTCAGGCTGGAAGTATACTGGGAGAGGAAGGCATGTGGGGAAAGTTGCAGAGTTCCAGACTGTGCTGAGCCTGGCTATGGCCAGGGCTTTTTGCTCTCTCATTTTCATGAACACATCATTCATTCATAAATTTTTAAGGGGAAAGAATCATTGTTTAATGAACTTTTTTGAAGAAAACTGAGCAAGGGAGAAAAGAAAAGAAACACCGTGAGCTCCTTACTCCCTAGACTTATGACCTGCATAACTCCAACCATTGTGTTATTTAGACAGCCTTCATCTTTAGCTGGCATTAAATTTGTATGCTCCCACATGGTTGAGTTGCTACTTTTTTTTTATCCATGCAGCTGGGATTCTCTGAGGAAACATGATGGGTCAGGAGGAGGAGGGGAGGCGAGGACAGCCATCTCCAAAATGCGGTGGATGTGCCTTGCCGGCTCTGCACTGGTTGCACTCAGGCAAGCTGACGGGAATCGGCGGTGGCAGCCATGCGAATGAGGTCAGAGTTGGTTCCTCCGTGGCTTTTTTATTCTTCTGAGCACTCTGAAAATGTGGGTGTGCATGTTAAAACTGCCCTGTGAGGCAGCTCTGACATGTGGGGCTGCCTGGCACAAACACAGCACATAATAACACAAAGTATTTGGCAGCGTTACAGGGCTAATCTTTACGTAACTGTTCCCGAACAACTTCTCTAGTGTGCTGAGCACAAACAAGCTTTCCATCAGCCTTCAGCTGCATGCAGATTGTCTTGTGTCACCTGCTTCTCTGCTGAGCAAATACTGGCTATGGTCATGGCAAGGAAAACCTTCTTTTGCATTCGGAACTGACTCTCCCTAAATTGCCTCCTTGTTTTCCAAGACTATTCATGAACCATAGGCATGTTTGTCAAGAATGTCCACTTTTATAGAATTTTTCCTCTGAAGCACAAATGTATGCTGGAAATTATGTTGTGGCCTGTTTTCAGAAGAGCACTAGGAAGGCAGGGCCTGATTTTTCAAATTTTGCCCCCCTGTTAACTTAAACCATAGGAGGAGGGATGTCTTTTATAATTAAGCCACTGGAGTGGGACTTTGGAAACCTGAGACTGGAATTAAAATGTTTCATTTCTTCCCTTTGCCCCTCTTGTCAGATTTTGATGTAAGGTCTTTATGATTATTGTCGCCTGGTTCAATTGGGTCTGGTCTCCATGGAGGTTTTTGTACTACAGACAGCACCACCGGGGCATAGATTGACAATAACAAAATCAGGGAAAGAAAATAAGGACTAGAGTAGATCTTCCCTTGCATCTTTGATCAGTGTTGGTAATGGGTCTCCTGCTCTTGCATGAAGTCAGTCAAGTGCAACCCTTTTCTTTGGCTGTCAGAAGATGAGTGTTTTTTGCTTTCTTCCCCAACCTCAGGTACCACCATCAATCTGCCCCCGTGCCACCTCCCCACCCACAATGCTCCTCGATTTGGGTGCTCTTTTCACTCAGTGCTGCACAGCCACAACACATGTGCTGCTGCGCAGCAAAGCCATGTGGCAAATGCATAAAAGTATGTACGTTTCTGAATGCTGGAAGAGAGCCCTAATTCTGTTGGCAGCAGAGCTGACTCTCCTTCTTTCCTCAGAGCGGGGCCCGCTGCATTCCTCGGTCCCACAGACATAAACCCTCCCTGGATTTCTCCCAGTGTGGCGGCAGGCTGCCAGCCTGCATCTTCACCCCCAGCACTCGCTTCAGGAGGGGCAACGCCTCTGCCTCGATGCTCAGGGAGTCCAAACTCCCTGCTCCAGGCTCATCTTACTCTCTCTGATCTGGCCTCAATCTACCCAGAGCCTCTGTTCTGGTTCTTGGTTTAATCTTAGCTGGTGAGGAAAGGTTCCATACCAGGAGGGAGGTAGAGCAAAGGGGGATTGCCAGACCCAAATGTTCCACACTTGCAAAGATGGTTTCTAAATACTGAACTTTAAAAATAATTTGGCTTGCATGTGGAGTGGTGAGAAAGGGGAGATCTTCCTCTTTGCCTGCTGGGATTTGGAATCTATAGTTTTCTGGGGACACGTTTCCAAGTTTTTATCACCAACTATAGGGGCTAGAAAACACTCTCATGTTAAATGAAAGCTGAAATTCCCCCTAGTCCTACACACTGACGATCTGGAGCTTTAACCCTGACTAAATCACAACAACATCTTTAGAATCAGCCCGTGCAAGATGTCTCTCACCAAAGAAAGAAAAATCCATTCAGAAAGAGTTGTTAAGGAGTCCTGAGCAAGTGCAGCTGTTAAGGGAGCAGTCACTGAGATACGACCAGGAAGGAGGAGAGGCATTTTTCTGTGATGTGAAGGAAGTTTGTGCAGCCAAAGGTGAGGAGATAGGGTCACCATGGTCAATTCCCAAGACCACCCTATTGCTTCAGCAGTGTATTGATTTGTGGATCTCTGCAAAGCACACAGACCAGGTCAGAGATGTCCCTACGATTCTTTTTGCTCCCTTGAAGGTATGGATTTTTTCTTATCTCACCTGCTTTTTTCTCTATTTCCCTTTCACTTTTAATGTATTTCAAGGCAGGAGGATGTTAGTGTTATTTTAATTATTCTCCTTTTGTTTTAAATGGGGCTTAATTTTTAAATAATTTGTGAGTTTGCCTACAGTGATAAAATGCTTTTCGATTTGCTTCCAAAAAGAAATATTTGCTAAAAAAAAAAAAAAAGAAGAAGAAACTGAAGTGCTCCATCCTTTCCAAATGCAATATTTAACTTTTTTTTCTTTTTTTTTTTTTTTTTTATTAAGAGCACTTCATTTTGGAAGTGAATAGGATGCTCTGGGCATGAGCACTGCAGACCAATTTAGATTTCCTAGATTGCTTCAATAATCTGAAGAGTACTCCAGTAATTTTAAACTATTTTCCACCACATGCCTTCAAACCCATTCATTTTTTTTAACTGAAGTGACTATACTTAGGACAAACTCTGCTGGTGATTTGAAATTGTTCTATTCTGCATATCCATAGACTTCAAATTCCAATGTAGAAACTTAATACAATATTTTCATATAAGACTGTATTACCACTTAATGCAATAACATTATTAGTCAACATTTTTATGCACTGCTCCCTGTCTGAAGCAGGGCCATGCCACCACAGCCAGTTGGCTGCAGGAGACAAACCCATAATTAGGCAAGACAGTCTTTACATTTTGGATTTTCTCACCCCAGTCTTTTTCCTGCATTTAGTCTTGGGATTCAGTTTCTTTTATGGCTTTTTAGTCTGAAGATCAAAATGTTTTTGCAGATAGTTAAAACACACAGTATGGCACACATATTTTCACTTTGGGTAGGGAGTGAAGTGCATCACTAAAGATCTCACAGAGCATCATCAGTGGCAGAGGCAGGGAAAAACATGAGCAATTTTAAACCTTTCCTTCCTTTCTGCTGCACACACTCCACTTGTGTTGTATAGGGTACAGCCCTTCCTGGCACTTTTACTACTGTATCTAGACTCTTCAGGGAGTAGTTATATTTCAAACACTGCCCCAAAGAGAAAGCTCATGAGCTGTCTGTTGAGGATTTCATGCCCTAATTCCTCTTACCTTTACCTTGCATAGCAGTTATTTTTAGTTCATATTTCTATAAAAGCATTTCTACATTTCTAAGAAATACAAGCATATTGTTCCAGGGAGGCTCTATGCTGCCTTAACTAATTAAAGCTTGACTATAGGACAGTGCTGTATACTTTGCAGTCCACCTAATGTCTTATTCAATCACAATCAAACATTAAAATTATTGGAAGGTGGCACAGTTTACCTTGATCTGCTGATGGCATGTCTTCTTGCTAAATGAGTGCCCATCTTTCACAAAAGGTACTAAGAGGGTGCAGAGGATGCACCACCATGCCCTGGACTGTGACCTCTGTGGCAGTCCCGTGATTCTCCTGGGGAAGCAGCTGCCCTGAGGCTGCTTTTGTAGTGTGTTTATGCTTGCAGGGAGTCGTTTGGTGGTGCATTAACAACAACGTTACTGAGACACTAAAGCCAAAACCACATCTTTTTGGTTTTTTTTTTTTTTGTCTTACCATTTTTAAATGGGGGTGGACAACAGTATTTATATGTAGCTTTAGAGGCCAAAGCTTGTGGTATAATTAAGGACCTTTTGGGATTGCTATGGTGTGACCCTAATGGCAAACTAGACTTGAGACTTAGACTCCAGAATATGTCCCAAGTAATTCTGAATGTATTTGGCCGTTTTCTTCAGCTGAATTTTGCAGTTTTCAACTGCTACTGAGAATATAAATTTAAAAAATAAACTATCAGAGTATGAGTAATTGACAGGCAGAGAAAAATATTGTTAACATAAAGATGCTGTTGCCATTTAATAATTACCAATGCAGTCTGCATAGGAAACTCATGTTTTTGTCAGGAATCTTGTAGACATGATTTGTTCTGTAGTAGATATTTTTGTTGTTGTCTTACAAGATTTCTTTCTAAGTGTAATGTTTCAAGGAAAGAAAAAGCTGTAGATGAAAGACAGATTGAGAATACAGAACTTGAACTGGTATGGTATCACAATTTTAGCTGCATATTTCCTCTGTATGGCTGTCTCTCCTTGTTGAGAACACTGCATTGTTGTCAATATAGCATTTCTTGAATGAAATGCTAACTTGGTCTTGTCCACTTACAAAAACTAAAGACCTCCCAGCTTAAAGAGTGGTATCTTAATCAATTTCTGACTGGGAGATTGCATTCTTCATACTTACATTCCCTGAAATTTCAATTGGATGCAATCTTTTTCTTCACTTAGAGCCATCCTTTTTTATGTGTTAAGTGCTTGCTCTGTTTCAACTCTGATGGAGCTGATTTTCAAGAACAGAAATTTCATCATCTGCACAGACCTTTGTGCTCTTTTGAAAAAAAATCTCATATCTATTAAAGATATGCTCTCACTTATTTACTACAATATTTTGGCATTGATAAGAGAGAGACAGAAAAATGATTTCACATAATTCAATTAATTTTAAATAAAAAATCAAGCACATTTTTCTTTCCCAAATAATGCTTCTAATGTTAGGGTTTGGATTATAGTAACTCAGTTTATTAGTCATATAATTATGAAGATAATATTATTATTAAATTATTTTTCCTATCCATCTTATTCTAATATTGAGGACATAGATTCAGGAAAAAAAAAAAAAAACATAATATTTTTTCCTGTATGGTTAGCCCTGCAGAACTTGATTTTCTCTTAATTTGGCGTTAATTTTTTTCTTTTTTTTAGTAATGTACCTCAATGGACATCAGTGAAGTACTCTGTATAACTCCAAAGTAAATGAAACAGCTTTGTAGGCCAGAGTTTCCCTCTGAAAGTTATGTATGGAGGCAGCATTTGCTAACATAATGCTGTATTATAATTCATGCTTGCACCTGTCCAGTTAGCCATAGATCCATCCAAGCATGACATATACTGTAAGAGGATTCCATTCTGCTAGATTAAATCTTCAGTTAAATGAACTAATGTGTCTTAGGGTG